CCACGGAAGCTTCTGGGTGCTCGTCCTGAGGTTTGCATGTGCTTCATTTTTGCCATGTTTTCCCTGAAAGATTTATGTGATTTTTAGAGAGAGAGAGGAAGGAAGAGAGAAAAGCATCCATGCGAGAGCAACACACCAATTGGCTGCCTCCTGCATGCTTCCCAACCTGGGACAGAGCCTGTCACGTAGGCATGGGCCCTGACCAGGAATTGAACTGGCAACCCCTCGATGCATGGGACGATGCCCAGCCAACTGAGCCACACCGGCCAGGGCTTGCCCTCTTATTTTTAAATAGACTTCAGTACTTCTGTGAGCTCGGCAGAATTGTAGTTTGGAGAGCCTCAAACTGGTGGTACGCCTGCGCTGAGGTCCTTTGGAAGGCGGTGCAGTCCTGGGAGTGATTTCCCAGGCTGACTAAATGGGGCAGGAAGGGAGGCAGACAGCAGGGCTCTGCATGAGCAATTCCAAAATAAGAATATCAGCACCATAAAGGCAGGGCTGTCTTCCTCATCCTGGAAATAGCCTCAGGTCATTTTTAGGAACAGGGAAATTTTATTTAAAAAAAAAAAAAGATAAAATAGTCATCTTATCCCTCAGTAGGTACAAACATAGTGCTTTGCCCATGACAGGTGTTCAGTAAATAGGACTTACATGATCCAGCGTAGTATTGAGTGCATCTTTGAAACTCAGCTTTAACTTCCCATCTATGCCCTGTGGATGCTGCTTCATTTCAGGTCTTAAGCTTGTATCTTTGCAGAGAGCATTGATTGAATAAATAGTGTTTAGGCTTTCGGGTAACTATTTCAGCTTCCTCTTGGGTCCCCATTGCTTCCCCTTTGGCCATCAGGAGAGCTCAGCATTCCAAGTGGCACTCTGCACCACACTGGTGGCCATGGTCAATTCTGGGAGAGGGTGCTGCTCCATTAGAGTGGGGAAGGGAGGGAGTTGGGAAAGGGATGGGGTGGGTGAGTGTCTGTTGTTTTCCCTGCCAGCAGCTGGCTTATCCCCTGAGGGTCATTCTCACTGATGATGTGTTTCAATTTTTCTTTTATTATAAGTACGGGACCTTCTGTTCACAAGTATAGGTGTGCATGGTGGTCTGTCCTGATTCTGGAAGGTGAACATTATCACAGGTGCCTCTGCTCGGGACAGATGAGATATGGAGTAAAGAATTTGGTGTCTGAGCACCCAGATCTTGTTTAATTTCTAAGGCTAGAAGGAATGTTTGTTTTGTTTTGTTGTGTCTTTTGAACTTCAATTAGATTTTTTTTTTTTTTTTGCCCACCTGCTCTGTTAGCGCTTCAGCAGTCTTTAGGACATTGGATCAAACCAGGTGTTTGGTTTGTGGAATAAAACCTAGATCTTCCAACTAGGTCAGGTAGGATCACCTCGAGTCACCTTACTCGGTTGATGCACCTAATTATAAGCTCTCCAGAGTGGAGTCCAAGACTCCTCCAGGCAGGCTGGGCTTTTCTGCTTGTCTTCAAAGCCCATTTTTATTTGTATGTAGTGATGACAAATAGGAGAAATGAAAAATGGGGAAGTAGGGAAAATGACCTAGGAGCTTGACAGTCCTGTAGAATTATAAATATATGTTCAAGGAAATCAAACACTGAGAGCAGGGCACTCCTTTATAATTGTGTTTGTTTCACTGGCGTTTCCCATCTCTCCTTGGAGCTCATGATTGGAGCAGTTACTTACACTTATGTTAAAGGAAGCTATGGGATGTACATTATTTTATTTCTTAATAAATCAAGTGATCCATACATAAAAGTGTTCCAATATCAAACCCTGAACGATGTAAGTTACATCTGGATGCAGTTTTGCAAGTCTTCATTGGACATAGTAAGGAAAAGGGTAAGGCATTCTTTCATTTAGAAGTGTAAGAGTGATTTCAAATCCCCCTGAGGCTTCCTGCCTGGTGGACTGCTACTGTGGACTTCTAAAAGCCTGGTTGAGATTGATAAGGAAAATAATAGAGTTTTCAGATATTTAACACTATAGTGGCCTTTGACCATGTATATTCTCTGGGGACCTCCTTTACCGTCTTTCCCCCCTTTTTATCATGTGAGTACAATGATGCGGATGCTCAAAATAGGAGAGGGATGTGTGAGTGTATAAGGCCAAGAAGTAACTTTCTCATTGGTGTGGTTAGTCCGATTCTTTATTGGTCACATGGATAATTTGGGAAATTCAGTATGAAGAAACCTTAATACCCCATTTATCTTTTGTGTGTGCTAATATCTCTACTCCAAATGATTATACAGTTTAATAAGTTTCTCTGAAAATTGATTTTGTGATGTATGTACATTCTGTGAAAAACATTAACTGAAAATTTGCTCAAAATTAGTTATAATAATAAAATAAATGGGGAAAAAAATCTTTTAATATATCTTTATTGATTTCAGAAAGAGGAAGGGAGAGGGAGAGAGATACAGATTAATGAGTCATTAATTGGCTGCCTCCTGCATGCCTCTGACGGGATCGAGCCCACAACCCAGGCATGTGCCCTGACTGGGAATTGAACTGGGATGTCTTGGATCATAGGTCGATGCTCAACTGGTGAGCCATGCCCGGCTGGGCTAAGTGAAAATTTTTTTAAAGTTTCTGGCAATGCAAAAATAAGTTAAAATACATCGACTCAAACCCCACAGGGCTCCTAATGGTTCACAATCTATTATCTTCCAATGCTTAAAAAAAGAGCTATTTCAATTCTGCCCCGACTCCCCACGCAGCATGGGGTGTTGAGAGGTAGACAGCTAAGGAACCATTCCATCCGCAAGTGGGTTTAGGATTAAATTACAGTGGGTTTTTAACATGATTGCTTTGCCCCACTACTGGTTTTCCTTGGAAGTAAGTGCCACGTGCATTTGGAGCTCCTCGGCCACTTCTGTCCCCAGACCACGACTGTTCTCACCCTGAGAAAATCCCACATTCCATTTTCTGACATTACATTTTTTCCTTTTCATCTTTTCCAAGCCCCCTGTCACCCCTAATGGTGTATCTTGTTGTCTGCCAGTAAAATTTAAGAATATGTCATAAATTAAGGATGGTTCTGCATTGCCTCTTATCTGACTAGCATCTGTGGGTGTCAGCTGCCAACAAGTAGCTCGGGTGTCTGGGCCGATCCTGAATACTCACAAGCTGACACACTCTCTTCTGATAAAAGGTACCTTCAAATATGCATGTGGTTTTCAGTATAAATTTTGTATGTCTAAATACTTCCTGTAAGAGTATCGCTCGACCTAATACAATGAGTTGGCTGGGACTTTTAAAAAGCTAGATATAAATATCGCTGGGAATTATAGAGCAAGCATAAGTACTTCACTCTGAGCTTTGCTGAGCATTTTCAGGATGCTTCTGACCACACTGTGAAATCTGAGCTTCTACCAGAGGACGGGCAAAAGCGGGGGACAGAGTTAGTCAAACAGGGTCACCCATCCTTCCAGGAAAACTGCCAAGTAGTGGCGAACCCCTAACATGGCTTCAGTGATGATGAAGGAAAAGTTTTGTTCTTCCCGTTCTCATCTACTCAGCCATCCTCATTTTGTCCGTATGTGTACACACCTCATCTGCAAGCCCGCATGCCTGAGTTCACACATACCTTGTGAGGGCTGTCATGTTCCAACAGAACTGTGTTCTCCAGAGAGACACCACGTCTGCGTGGATGGTGAGAGTCAAAGCACTGCCCGTCTTCTGTATGTTAATGGAACAGTTTATTCTCTTAATTCTGTGCAAGTTGTCAAAACAAAACAAAACCAAAAAACACCTATATCTAAAGATATGATGACATTTGCATAGAGTGAAGTATTTACTGTATTGCTTTAAAGCTGTCTGCTGTAGAGAAAGGGTAGTTTGTAGCAGTGATGGTGGTGGTGGTGATGGTGGCGGTGGTGGTGGTGATGGTGGTGATGATGGTGATGGTGATGGTGATGGTGGTGGTTATGATGGTGGTGATGGTGGTGGTGGTGATGATGGTGAATGTTGAACCTGTGACAGGTTCTGTTAGAATGCTGAAGTCCTTCTTTAAGGTCAAGAGATGACTCTCCCCTTATGCACACTTCTCTTTATTTTGTACAATGCTGAAGCTCTTGAAGGAAAAAACATAATACACCATTTTTATTAATGCAGTTTCACATTTGCTACTTAATCCCACAGCTTAATTTTATAATGAGCTCTTGATGCCAGGTTTCGTGTAAACAATGAGCTGTCATTAATTGATTCGGATCTGCTGTGTCAGGTTCTTTGGTCTGTCATCCTGCTTGTCTGATAGATCAGAAAGTGGCATGGCTGACAAAGGAGCCACGGAGGTACGAGAGGAGTGTGTTTCAAACTAATGGGTGTGAACACCAACTTTACAGCGCTGATACAGTGTTTATTTTATCATGACTTCCCAAGACGTCCTCCAGTGTGTCTCTTTGTTAGTATGATCGCCCCCTCTCCCTTTTCTGCAAAACACCAGCTTCATGAACAGAACAAATATGACCCTTTGCTTTGTCCTGACCTTCATTCTGTACTTTTTCTTTTAAATCCCCATGCAAGGATATTTTTTCCATTGCTTCTCAGAGAGAGGGGAAGGGAGAGAGAAACATCGATGGGAGAGAGACATCTATTTGGTTGCCTCCCGCATGTTTTCCCACCAGGGCCGGGGATTGACTGGAATTGAACCCGGGACCCTTCAGCCCACAGTCCGATGCTCCAACCACTGAGCCAAACCGGCCAAGGCCATTCTGTACTTTTAAGTCCAATCCCTCCCTGCCAGCATTGCATCTCTCCCAACACATGCAGAGATGTGCTCGGGTGCGGTAAATCCTTCCGAATTAGAAGCTGTGCTCTGCATCTGACCTGGCGGCTCACACCCACCCACATCCACCACAACTGGCAAATGGTGGTGGTTTATTTTGGGGCTGGTATAAGAGGCTGTGTCTGACGGCTGTGAGTGTCAGCTAAGGGCTGAGATTGTCATGTAATGTGGCCTCAACTCTTGTCTCCTTGCCCAGACTGCTCCCTAGAAGCTCAGCCCAAATATGTTAGAGGTGGGAAGCGTTACGGACGGAGGTCCTTACCGGAGTTTCAAGAGTCTGTGGAGGAGTTTGCAGAGGTGACCGTGATTGAGCCCCTCGAAGAGGAAGCTAGGCCTTCGCACATCCCGGCCGGTGACCGCCACGAGGTAAGGAATCGGACAGGCATGTCCATCTGGAGCACAGGTGTGGATGTCCACGGACACCTGCATGGCTGTGGTGCAGACAGGAGACCTGAGGGAGTTTATGACTTTCCTCAGTTACCAGCTACTTGCTCATCTTATTATTTGCCTTTTGGATACATGTGGCTGACTTTTCTATTGTTTGAATGTTTTCATCTGTTTCAACTTTGGGCGAGCTCACGTTTCTGTACATGCTTATGTTTATACATTTTGGGATTCAGTTATTTTCAGATTATCTGATGTGTACTACTTCTTGCTCTTCTTGGAAATAGATCTCCTTCATGACCCTGTCATTTTTAGTTATGTGAAAAGCTAACCAGCCCCATTCTCAAACTGTAAAACAGCGTCCATGACAGGTAGGAAATGAGAGCACTGTGTTTAAGTACTTTGAGAACCAGCATCTTATCTTTTGTGGTGGGGGAAAGCAGTTTTAAAATGTGGTCCTTGTCACAGCACTCAGCAGTTGCCAAGGTTCTTCCCAGTTCCGCGGCACCCAGGCCCGTCTGGCTCTCCAGCAATCAGATTCGCCTGCCTCCCTCATCTCCCATCTTTTCATTTTACACGTTGCCATAATGTACCAATAAAGGAGAAGCAGTAACATTTTCTTGATTCTCTCATTCTGGCCCATTTACCGCTATGCCATTTATAGAACATGATTGAACGTGACATGTTCAGCAAGCTCTAAACATTTCTTGCACATCCCAGCTCAGCTTGGGGATGCAAATACTTCAGATACTAATGTAAACTGGAAAAGAGACCAAGTGCCTCAACTTTCTGAAAGCAGTCTGTAGATTGTGGGTTAAGGGGAGATGTGCGTGCACACACGTGTGTGTGTGTGTGTGCATTTCTGTCTAACATCCATGTTCAGCTTACTGCAATTGACAGGAACCTTGTTCCAGTAATGTCCCCAGAAGTCAGACATGTAGCATCTTCAACTTTGCAGAACACCCACAAACCCAAAGGTAATGAAAGAGCCCAAGTACTGAGCAGAAGTGAAACCGGCCACACATATTGCAACTCAGATGACATGTAACTGGTTTGCCAATCAGAAGTTTGCACCATTTTTAAAAAACAAGCAATACCTGTTTTCACCCCCAGAAGCGAAGGGGCAGTGTCAAAAATGTGGGCCAGAAGACAGGAAGAAAAGTAGTTAGAGAACAGAGAGAGAAACCACAAAATGGTGTAAGAGTCGTGTGGGTGGGAAGTGACAGCTGAGAACAGAGAAGGCCGTGAGAAGCAATAAGGAAAACGCCGCCTGGAACGTCGCAGCGGGGCCAGCCGGCTGAGGCGGCGGCTGCTTCCTGTCTTGGTTCAGTCGGTTTCAGACCTTTCCTGGGTCCCTTTGAGAATTTAGATGGGGCCTTTCCCCCCAATAAAACACACGTATTCACATGCACCAAACTTTTGTGTATACAGTTTCAGGGAGGCGGGTAATTTGAGTGCTTCAGTTACTGCAGTATTTGTAATATTTCTCCTGCTGTCAGGAAAGGCATCGTTTTAGTCCACAGTCTGTTTAATAACCTGAGTAGTACAGAATGTATCTGAGACACTTCTCTATAAAAACATGATTAAAACATGTCTCAACACTTTAGGAGGTAAGCTTTTGTTAGTTGGAGAACACTTTTAAGTCTGGCATCTCCCCTCTCCAACTATTTTGAGTACCTGAGGCATTAGTATTTGGTGCTAAGAAATTAAATGATTATGTATTTTTTAATAAGATGGTTTCTAGTTACCACCTGGGGATACCCAGAAAGTTCTCGGGCAGAGCTGACTTTGTTGCTGGCAGTAGATTTCTCATAGCCTTGTTTTATCTACTGATTTCCAGTGAGATTTACTGTTTAAAAAGTGAGACTCTGGTTTCATGTCTAAATAAAGATAAGAGTTGAGGCCTGAGCCTAGACAAAAAGGCATGTTGGGAGAATCATTTCACCAGACTTCGATAGTCTGTTATATCCCTCCCCAGAAAGCCTTGGGGGTTCCAGTTACCACCTCTCACCCCATCTTTTTAAATTGCTGAGTGTGGCCTCAAACTGAAGCTCATCTCGCTGCTTCTCACTTAAAAATGGAGCTGAATTGAGCCTGTCAGCTTTCAAATCGATTCATCACTTTAAAAAATTAATAGCTCCACATGTGGCATTAACAGCTTTGTCTGTTGGCAGTAAGACAGGCCGACCCCAGCTCTGTGCACTAACTGTGGGCGGCATGGGTCCCACTCACGAATACCTGCAGTCCGGTGGCATGGTTCCTCACTGTGTCAGTCTTACTGCATACTGTTGGGCCAAGATAGCAGCCCTGCTTCCTGGCCAGTTTTCATAGTAGCCTCAGTTTAGGGCCACTCAGTTGGCCAACAGAATTTCATGCTCTGGGCAGCACAGACTTGTGCAAGAAATAACCTCGTCTCTTCTACAGAAGCTGTTCAGGTCTCCTCGGAGGGCTGGGTAATCTTTCCTACTCTAAGGTAGCCCCTAAATGAGGACTCTGGAGAGGAAAAAAATTCTCAGTGACCTGTGGGATTTATTCTTAATTTATAAAGAGTTCAGAATCTGTCAGGAGTTCTTTATTGTACTGTTGACTTCTTTTTTCTCCCTTCTGGTTGCCTGAGGCCCTTTGGTCTCCTGCCCTTGGGTGTTAAGAATTTATTCCTATGTTGTGTGTTTTATCAGTGGCTCACACTTCATCTCAGTGCCACTGGGCAATACCAAAGAAGGGAGCAGGCTGGGTCTCCCCTGGCGTGAATATTTCATAAGGAGCAGTCAGACTGAGAGCTGGAGACGGGCCTTCTTGTTTTTGATCGTGGGTTTCCTTTGACTCCTGGATCCTGGCTCAGAGGAGAGTGGGTTTTGAGCTTGCTTTTGGGCTACAGTTTTTCCAGCTCTCAGACCTGCCTGATTTTTTCCTAGAGTGACTTTAGAGTTTTTTGATGAAGACAAAAGGACCTGTACCTGTTGTCAGAAGTTAAATGGAGGGGAAATCTGGCTGTTGCTACCCAAGAGGAGACTAATTTTAGCTCTGGTGTGAATCATATAATTATTTCATTTATCTGAGGATTTAGGTAGGGGTGGACAATGGAATGGGATGGTGTCACAAGCCCCTGTAAAAGCTGTTCTCATGGTGGCTCACTTCCTTCTAGGAGCTCATCCTGTAGGGATATGTGAGTAGTCACAATACTCCCTCTCTACCCCTCTTCTCTCTAGAGTTATTCCACAATAGGGGAATTGCTAAAGATTGACAGTTCATTCCAAGGCTCCTGGGTTAGTGGTTCAAATTGTTTTCATGTAGCTTTCCTTGGAAGGCCTTCTCCCATACGTGTAACAAATATTCCAGGTAATTCTCAGTAGTCACAAGAAAACATAGACATGTAGGCAAGTGAGGGGATGCTAGTATAGATTGCTTTCAAGCAATTAAATTTATTTTTAATGGAAGTCCCACGTGAAGTTCCAGGCCTCATTAGTTACAACAACGTGGAATTCCTCTCGTGGCTGTTCGTGGTGCCTCATTGTGACCTGGAGCCTTGGGTGAGAACCCTCGTGGTTACTCTGGGGTAACAGATGCTCCACCACCGTGGCCTTGCCCCCTGCATAGAATATATAAGAATAAATCTTGTTATGAGGTGCTGTTGATTATATTCGACTTTTGTTTCAGTTCACATATGTTAAAGCCCTAACATAAATTTTAAACATTTTAATCATCTTTACTGCCCCCCCTCCCAGCAATTTGATTCTTTCCTGCTGAAACAGAAAATATCTCACCTAGCTTCTAAGCATGCCTCCCCTACCAAGTTTAGTTTATAAGCCCATAAAGCCCTAGGGGAAAGACCATTGTTACCTCCTATGTTTTCAGCACTGAAAACCTGTTATTACAGAACTTCATTTGGAAACCCTGGAGCAGAATATGCTAATTCACAGGGGACAGGTAGGTTCCAACATCAGGCCGAATAGGGCATCCACCTTCCAGTTTAGTGTGTGTATCTGGCAACTGGGTCCCTTGAGAGTTTTACCTCTCATTCTGGGTGGTATTGAAAGGAAAGGGATGATTTTTCTCTTTTCATGGGGTCATTTTCACTCAAGGCAATTCAATTGGACATTCTATTCTGAATTAATGCAGACTAACAAAGGGCACATTCTTGATGCCAACATAAGGTGTGATTAGTGAGGTTTTGGTTGTCTCTTTTGCTTCACTTCATTAAGAAACAGAAGTAAGTTTTTAGGTTCTAAAGAGTACCTTTCCCCCCTTTTATATGCATATATGCAGTGGCTACTAACTGACCTTGAATTTCATGCTCACGTTTCCTCTAAGGGTAGGTGGAAGGGGACAGAGAAAACAAAACTAATTCTCCATTCCATTCTGTATCACACAGCCCTGGCAGGAAAGGTTGTTCAATTAATACAATTGGGGCAGGGCCACTTTGCTTTCTGCCCTCGTTGAAAACAGGGGACACCTTGTTAACTGTTTTCCTCCGCAGGAATAAATCAGGTCTAGTAAGATTCTTATCAAGAGCAAGAAGCTTTAAACAATTATTTTTTCAACTATAGACAATAATGGTGTAAGCCAAAACCATGCAGTTTTAGTGAGGACCTGGGAGAAAAGTTAAAGCCAATCGCTTCCTTTGCCCAAGAATCGACAAGTTAATCAAGTCTTTGTGTTGAGACTGTGCGGGGAGGAGAATGGGAGACAGCGGTGGTTTAAAATCTTAAAAAGAAAAAAGCTGATTTCACTACCCTACATAAATTCAAACTTCTTCGAGACGGGTGAAACTGACGTATATTCTCCTTACGTTCATTTTCATATATGCATAACTTTGCAGTTAACCTTTATGAATTATTCATTTACATTGTATGGAGTAAATATTTGATTCTGGAGCAAACATATTAATAACTGAGAGGAGTCCTGCTAAGAGCTCTTGTAGTTGAAATGCCCCTGTTTCCCCAATACTCCCATTACATTTTTGTTCTAGTCTTTGACAGTCT